CACTGGGTACAGGGAAAGAAAAAAAAAAATCAAGCAAAAACAAGATAATGTATCAGAAGTTGAGCTGAGATGATATTATCCCATGATCTAAAATAACTTCTCCTAYATAAATCCTAACTATCACATCATTAAAGGAGGACCTTGAAACATTTTACAAGCATTGATAGGACAGCATCTTTTTAGTGATATTTTTATGTCACATGGGTTTTCCAAGAATTATCAAAAATGCTTTCAACTAAAATGGACAATTGATTTTATTTTACCCTAATAAATTGAAATTATAATGAAAGGGAAAATTTAAAAAGTCACATTTTTGAAGATGATACTAWTAAATTAATTCTATGCAAGTGCCTCAGTTTACATATCTATAGAATTCATTAAATACAGTTAAAAAGTAATGTATAAAATGYAAACAATACATTTTCAAATTATATAACTGCATTATACATATATATTTACACTACATTTTACAGTATATATTACAAAACACAGTTGTACTTATGTTTAAAAACTTGGTAGGTTTCCATGCTCATAAATACACGCTAAATTTAAGTTTAGCATGGTTCAATATGTTCAAGAGTAATAAGTCAGCCTTAGGAAAGCAGGGAGACCATCTTAAAGAAAATGAGAAGAGACTCCATGAACACACTTTTTGCTTTAAAGACAGCTTTCTGACATTTTAACTTTTATGATATATAGTGGTCTCATTTCTAGTTTGATCATGAGAGCTCACATTCGACACCCCCAGCTCTTAGCCAGCCTTGATTTCCTCCACCAAGCCTTAAAATAGAACCTCCAAGGGAAAAAAGAAAAAGAGAAAAAAAGGAATATGACAGCCAGAATACTGCTGCAGAGCAATTTAGCTTGTCCTGGTGGGCTGCAATTTCCTCTTTGCTCAGGTAAGCGGGCACAAACACTTGCTGAATGTTATGAACTTAGACATTCAGCTAATATAACTGCTTTCTACAGTGGTACTGCAATATCTGCTTTGCCTTTCACTCATGCAGGGATGTGTTCCTTGCTACATATTATTTTCATTATCGCCTCAAATTTGAGCGAGTAGGAACAGCCCTGACTTTGCCTTTCTACATGGACATCTATGACCCAAGCGAGCTCCACCAATTTATTCTGAACTTTAAAAGCATCGCAGCTGATCCATAACACTCCAGGAATGCTGCCGAGATTCCAAAGGGGATGATGGTCCCCATTTCTCAACACAAACTTGAAAGTTCACTGACAAGAACCAATTATCAGCTGCAGAGGCATGTGATTATACCGTGCAAGCTACGTTATCAGTTTATATAATTACAAATTCTAATTTCTATCTCCATTTGAGTGGATTATGGAGGCTGCAGGTTAGCCCTTGACATTCCGTAGCCTCTTCATGAGGAAGGAGCAAAACAACCATTAACAGGGACAAACAGGGACAGGAAACGTGCACAGGGTTCGTGGCTGACAAGCAGTGCTGGGCAGGGTAGAATTCTCCATTATTTTAATGGAAGTAAAGCCACAGTGAGAATTCTGTCCGAGAGAAACCCTGCCTACTACATAATAGTAAATACTAAACAAAATGGGAGAATATTGCAAAAATTTTAATCCTATTAATCTCATTCTAATTTTCATGATTTGCTGTGCTGAAATTTAAGATTTTTCTGCTAAATCTCTGTTTTGCCTCTCTCCTCCCCTCCCTACTTTTCCTCTACAATTTATTAGTTCTGCTTAATGGTCAGGTTATACCTTGCCCTGGCTGCAGCAAAGGCTGCTTCCCACAGCTCAGCAGTGCTTCCTCACCATCCCTTCCCAGGAAAAAACAGCACTTCCAGCCTCCTGGCATTAAGCACTCAGCCGATAACCCGATTCCATCAGGCTGATCAGGCTTAGCTCAAACATACTAGAAGAGGCACAAAGTGCCCAGCTGGGACTCATCCAGGTCAGGGAGTTGTCAGCCCCTTCTCTCTTCATCACTGCTCTCTCCCTGCCTTTCTACCAAAGGCCTCCTCAGAGCTGCCAGTTAAACTGCTGGTTTGGGGATTTCTGCCTTCTTTTGTTTTGTTTTTAATATCAATCATTTCAGAAATCTGGACATGGAATACAGAAAAACAAAGCAACTGGTCCTAAGCAGAAATAAGTGGAGAAAAACTTTGGCCAAAGGCTAGACCACACATCTCCTGCATGCAGGTGGACGGCAACTGCAACCACACAACCCTGACCTGCCACAAGCAGAGCAACCCTGCATCTTCCAAACCACACTGGCCTAAGACTCAGAGTTAGGGAAACAGTGTTTTTTGGGTTTGGGTGTTTTTTTTTTTTTTTGCCTTTTTTGCCTTTTTAAAATATTCTTTATTCCCATAATGCAGCCCCCTCAAAAAGAAATTTGAGGTTTTAGTTCTTTACAAAAGCCACATCACTGAAATCAAGTTAAATTCTTTCCTTCATTACAATTCAGTAATCTCAGAACACAGTCTTCAGAGAAGTAGAGGCTTTTAAGATGAATTTGCATATGTATATTTCTAACAGAACATCCAGTTCATTCTTAAATTATTTAAAGACTCTTGGAGGAACCTGCCAATATGCTATTCAACTGAGAAAAAGGAAGAACAAAACCAGAGGAGCAAATAATAGTGGAGGAGAGACCTGATGTAGCCTTGCAGTAAATACAGTATTGGCACTGCTCATGACAGGCCACAGGCTTCATAAACCTGTGGAGGGCTCAGGGCTTCTCAGACCTTGCCTGAACTTGGCTAGGGCTGCCATGTGCTCTGTTTTAACTTGCTTAGAAGTAACAGTGCTCCTTTTAATGACCAAGCATCTAACCACTCATCTGTTTTACTTTGTATAATCTCCTTGTTAGGTATAGCCATAGTTTTTATATGGATAGTAGTTGCAAGTAGTTCTCTAGAGCAGACTAAAATACTGATGACCTTCATATGCAGTACTGCATAACGATGCAGTATATGCATGATACAACGAAGGATGCACCACAGAGGACTGCAGGCAGAGATAACAAGAGCGGAAGCACAGGCTAATTCAGGCTACAAGCTAATTAACASTGGTCTGTTAAATAAATGAAATGAAACTGTGCAAAACTGGTTTCATCCATAACTACAAGCACATGATTTTGCCTTTACCTGTAACAAGCTTTTGTGTCTGATACTGGAGAGGCAAGAACAATTTGCAAGGTGGCCCAGATAAAACTGCAGCAGATATTTCTGTCAATAAGGTATGTTATGTTGAGGTCCTAAAGTAGAAAAAGAAATATATTCTTATGCAAATTCAAAGCAATAATATTTGGGGAAAAGATTAAATTACTTCTGTGGAATCCAAGGACAAAAGAAGTTCCTAAAAATATTTAGAAGTGAAAGCTACTTAAGACAATTTATGACTTTGTACTTTCTCCTCTCTTTTTGTGGTACCTGTCAACAGTCACAATATTTTACTCTATGAGTAGTGTTTTTTAATTTGCACTCTGTGAATCCATAGATTAATCTGATAGTGTTTCCCCATAGTAAGAACTGCCATGAAGATTGCAAGCTATGATGTCCTCCTGCTCACTAAATCCTGCTCAGACCAGGTTAACTCATTCTCTAATCTCATCTCTGCTTTCAGTATCTCAGCTAAAAGTGGGTGGTTTACACTGTATTTAGTTGCTTCAGTAAACAGGGAAGAATCAGGCACAAACTACTTACTCTAGGYTTCCCTGGTGATTTATCCTACAATTTAAACTAAAATCCTGAAGGGGGTATGCTTTTCTAATCAAGGCAAGATTTTTAGGAGACAAACATATGATTCGCTGTGCTATTCAGTAAAATAGCTATAAAAACAGCAAATGCTTAGCTCCATGATCTATGTTCTGTGCTTGATAGCCAAGTGGGAACTGCCTTTGGATTTGCCATGCCATTGCTGAACTATCTGTCATTGCTAACTTAYGTATCACACTTTATTTCTACCCAACGTGTAATATGCTAGAGCTAAAAGCAAGGTAGACTAGCAGCACTGAATAGGCAGAACACATTTGATTTAAAAAAACTATAATTAAAACACGAAMTATTTCCAAAGCCTGATCTGCACAGAACAAAAATGTGGAGGTATTTCACTAGAGGAGCTAGTCCTGAGAATAGCTGTCCTGGAACAACCCCTCATGCACACATCATGGCTTTCCTACACCAGATAGGAGAAGGAGGCTCACAGTCACATTCACAAGCTGTCAGAACCACACAAATGGAAGCCTGCTCTAAATTTCTAAAATATGTCTTAACATAGCTTGCTAAATTTCCAGCTAGCTTAAAACTCCATCCTTCGCATAAAAACACACCCATAAACTCATTCACCCACTATCCCACCTACCTCTCCCAGCTGTACTAGTGACCCAGCTTCACTTCAAGAAGCTTTCTAGATTTCTACTATTTCCTTCCAGTCTGCTTATCTCTAATTTTATCTCAGCTGACAACTGTTTTCTTCTCACCCATTTATTCCAGGCAGAACCTAAAAAGAATGTCTTTCCGCTACATCCTAATCCACCTCTGGAAAGCCAGTCCTTCAACTCAATTATCTACCWGCTGTGGATTACCAGGAACTTCCTGCTGCTCCAGAGAAATGCTGGCCATCTTGTATATGGATTTCTTCCATTCCTCCTGAAGAGCACATGACAGAAGTTATATAATACAGAGGAGKAGATGAGGACAAAACAATGCCTTCTGCAAAAGTCTGCAAAGAATATCATTAGAATTTAGTGTCTGCAACAGTTAAGAAAACTGAGTGAAAGAGTTATATAGATTTCCCCCCCCCTCCCATTTCTCAGTGAAGATGTTGTATAGCAGAAGCAGGACAGCAGCATGATACATAACCACTATGAATACTGGAGGAAAGGATGACTCTCTGCATAGACAGGCATAATACTTGTCAGATGAATGGCCTGGAAATAAATTTAACACGACTGGAAACAGAAAATGAGCTCAAGAGCAGTATGCAAATGCTGTGTAGACCTAAACACCACGGCTTACCTTGTGAGGGAAGCACGGATTTCCTCCCGTAGCACAGACTGAAATCCTTCCTGGGTGGAGAGTGGCACTGCCTGCTAGTGAAGCAAGTTGGGTTTAGAGAGGGCAGTTTTGGACCTGCAAACATGTCTACTGGTGGGATGGGAGGGGGCTTTCCAGCACTACCAAGGTTTCAGCTCCCTCCTCAAACAGCCACCTCAGCCCAGTAGAGCCCAGTCATTATATACATGTGCTTTGCACACCTGAAACTTCTTTGCACTCATCTAATTCTACTCAAAAAGAAAAAAAAAAAAAAAAAACCCACCCTACTCAAAAAAGAGAGATCATGCTACTTCTATACATACTAAAAATACTGCAAACTCATACATATAAAAAAAATGTGGAAACAGTGAACTCATAATAAAAAAGAACAGCACTAGGGAGTCCAAAATTGAAGTGACTCATTTGGAAATTTATAAAGACTAAAGAGACAAGTTCTTAGAAGTTTTAATAATAATTTGCTTTGAACAGAGAAAAACGCAGGGTAAAATGAGATGGTCATCATGGGCTCCAGTTAAAGGAGCAGCACTTCAGAGTATGGTTTTCTTTTGCTTAATTAGATCCCACAGAATATTTCCCATAAAYGGATGGTGGGGACATGCCCTTTCATCTGAGTCAATGGGTCCATTAGGAGCCAACAGTCCAGGCAGGACTTCGTGTTATTGCCAAAGATATTTTATGATGCTTGAAGATACACGAGTTTGGAAGAGAAGTGCAGGTTTCTGTGRGAGTAGGTATCAGCAAGAAGTCCTTTGGCTGTTAGATTTCTAGAAGCTGTAGTTATATGAAATTAAAGCAATTAGGGTTGTAAAAGATATGCTGTTTCTTTTTACATGTCTATTGTTTGRCATAATCTGTTCAACAGCTACTGTGTTTATCTTAAATGCGCTRGAAAAGTATTCTTTGACCTACAGAAAATTGAACTCAAGCTGACTGAAAAATATGGTGTCTTTTCCTCCACAAAAAAAAGAAAAAGAAAAATCAAATTTTCTGTGAAAAGTAGAAAATCTTAGCAAAAGAAAATTGTTTTGCTTAGTGAAGAAAAAAGTAAAACAAATATTTACAATGAATTTTAAATAGGGCTCTGCTCTGAATACTGATCAACCTTGAGTCTCACTGCAACATCAAAGCCTGCATTTGTATTTAGAGATTACACAAATAAAGCTGTTCTTTTAAACAATTTGGTTTTGCTTCCAGGGATTAAAAGGCAAAACAGAAATTTCCTTCACCTGAATCAGTGGAGACCCTCTCAGAATCACTGAAAAGAGAAGCTAGAAGAATGCTGGAAGTGAAAAAATTACACAGCTAAACAAAAGGAGAAAACTTTCACAGCCCCTTGTGGACAGTGACAAACAAGAACATGATACAATCAGAAAATCAGAACTTGTCCATCCCAGCTTGGGGCAGTGATGTGTCCTTTTTCTGCTCCTRAATATAAGCTGCTCTGGTACAAAAACAGAGAATTTTGAAGTTTCTAAAACAAATTGGTTTTGCCCCTGCTGCTGTTGTATTAAAAAAAAAAAAAAAAAAAAGGCAATGTATCAGCCAAATCTTTAAAAAAAGAGGAAAATGTCCCCTTTATTGTAGTGAAATGTCAGCGTGATGTGTGACTAAAAAAGCCAAGACTCCAACAATTTTTATGCCCAAACCACAAATATGATTGAAATTGTGCTTTGTATSTAGCATCCCCACAGACATTTGCTTTCATTTTATAATAAATTAAAATTTAGGACAAAATCTGTAGTTCTTCAATGCCAAATAAAGTATTTCATTGGCATGTCTAATGCATTATGGTTCTGTTTAACGTAAATACATGTATCACAATTTGGTTGTTGACAGTGGAAGCAAAAAACACATAAACTGACAGCTCATACTGCCTGTCACTTTACCAAGTGACTTAACTGATTACATTAGAATTACTTCTGATTAACACAGGTGTGACTGAGAAGGTAATTAGGCATCATCTTTAGCATGGATCTAAACATATTGCCGATGCTTAACATATAAGTATAGTTAAGAGAAATGAATTTTCTCCTCTATACAACCACTCTTACTAAATACATCCTTCTAAATGTCAGACTCCCTGATGAAGTAAACACTGTATGAGTCATAAGCCTCTTTAAATGCAAAAYCGCTATATTGAAGAAACTGAAAATGGCTTTTAATTTTCTCTTTAATGATGCTGAAAAATATGTATCTATAAGATACCTGAGTCTGACATCTGAGCCAGTACAGATGCAGTACCCTATTGTCTGTAAAACGTTGCCCATTTGATATTTCTTTTCCAAGCAACTTGTCTCAGATTTTTTTCCTAAAAATTCAATAAATCATATCATGAGATTTAATCATAGCCTTCTGTACGAGTTATGAAATAATCGTTGTCTGCTGCATTATTTCTCCTTGATAACTTTGTTGCAGAATGAAACTTCATATATTTGCACTGTGCTCCAAATAGCTAATTTTTTATTAACAGAGAAACAACAGCAGCAGCCCATAATAATCTTTTTCATTATGCTCCAACACCTCACAAAATCCTTGGCTTTTTTTTTTTTTTTTTTTTTTTTGTACTGTGAGACTCAGATACACAGGATGGAGACCTTTCATGAGGTTGTCAAGCAACTGAAGAAAGAAGGGAGAGGGGGAAAAAGGAAACACTTATTACTGTGGAATAAACCAGAAATTCAGTACACTGAGTAGGAAAATGATTCTTTACTTGGGACAGATTGTTAAAACTGATTCAAGGCCTAGTAAACTCAGTATGCAAGTGGGACCCCCAAATTTCCTCAGTTCTTAGGTTCTTTTGTCTTTGTTTCTTTTCTTCCAGAACAAAATGTAAAGATCTTGCTCCTTCACTGGTTGGAATCTAACTACCACCAAAACAGTCTGGACTAAATTAAAAACTACATGAGTGAAATGAAGATGTTAGAGTACAACCATGCCACAAGCACATCTACTAAGGAAAATAAAACTCTGGCACTTAACAAGCCACAGGGCCATTGCATGCACAGTCCTCAGTGTTAGCAGTGGAAGGACTTGAGTAGTTATAAACCCTCACATTTGGTCTTAAATTTTGCATTTAGTGCTTAGGTATCACCTTTCAGATTTAAAGTATTCCATCTACTTTTCACTAGTTGCCAGTGGGTAACTCTCTTCTGGGCAAGTCAGGTGCTTTATAATGTAAAGATGTGTTTGATAAATATCTGTATTTGTTTCATCAGAAATATCTGCAAAGATCAAACTTTTCTTAGTCATTCTGTCCTAGAGTTAAAGAGAGGAAGCTTRGAACATCAAAAGGTTCTTCAAGGAAGCACAAAAAATAGCTACTTAATGGATATTGTTTCCATTAGAAATGTATAGAAAAATTGGAAGGAGCTTCTTCTATCTCCATTGCTTCTCTCTAATAAAGCATAAAATATAGTTTAAGCCTTGCTTTTTATCCACCATGACCATCCACTTCCACCTCAAAATGCCTAAACTAGCATTGATTTATCCTGCATAGGTGAGGAGGAATCATGGCTGTTGGTTTTAGCAGAAGACTTTCCCATTGATCTCACCTTGTGCTGTCCTCATAACCAGCTGTGGTTGCCCTTTGCATGCCATCATGAGGTCAATATGCTTTGATGTTTGGTAATAAAAGAAAGAGCTCGCATGGATGCCCTTTCAAAAATGTATTTACTAAAGAGGCTTGAAAGGGTTCCTGCATCAACTGAAAAGCCTTGGAAGAAGCAGGTGCCTATTCATTTCACAGATACCGTGAAACATATGGGGAAGCAAATAAAAATTGACCGCGATAATAAAACAATAAAACAACATTAAATTTCAGCAAGATAAGTGAGACTACTAAAACRAGGGCTTGCAAAGTCCTTAAATTTCAAAATACAATATTTGTGAGTTTTTCTAAGGAAATACACACTTGCAAAGGGAGTTTATATACTACCATGTAACACAACTTCAAACCACATTTGTTAGAGCACCATTTTATGTAAGGGCAGAAGAGGAAACATGTTTAATTTAATTTTTGGAAGCAGATGGGGCTTCTGTTATCAATAGAAAAGGAGCTGATAGTTAAGTGTTGTCAGTATAGCTGGGTGCTGACTCTCCCATTCTGGTTTAAAACTGCCTCTCAAAATTCRACTTCCAAGCAGTCCAGGGCCCCCTTCGCATTTCAGCACAGACAGGAGTCTGAATGGAGGAGTCCAAGTGGGATCTGCACTTTCCTGAGATAGACTGTCCCCTTGAACTAGTATCTGATTGACAGTTGCTTATCAGAGGAAATAACCAACAGGAGATATTTGAAATGACATTTTCCTACCCTCAGAAAAACTCAAAAGCAGCCAAGCTATAAGTGTRATGATAAGATTCAAAGCTTATCTATTCATGAACAATACAGAAAGTCAGCCCAAACTGGTGAAGGGTATAGACACACAAACAAGTTACAAGGAGAGATGTGCTGTAAACTTAAGATCTTTAACTACTCTCAGAACTTTATTCAAACCTGCTCCTGTCATCCAGAAAATGGAAGATAATTTCTCTCTCTTATCTGATGTTTCTTACCATGTGCACACCAATGGTTACCTCAGGTTACCTCAACTGCATTGCAAATTCAGGCTTGTCTACCTGGTAGTAACTTGTCCGTCCGTCCACTTGCTAGACACACTACAGATCTACCGCAGATTAACTACCAAATATGAAAGTCCTATGCAGAAACCACGCATTTTATTTGGGAATAAGATGCTATTTTTGTTTAGCATAATTAAGATTCATGGTAAACTCAAGTAAGCTGACTGAAGATGYGATTATTTCTGAACTCAACTTCTCATAGAAGGACTAATTGCTTTTTAATTAATTCATTATTAAATGCCATTTCACACTGGGAGGAGGTCTGCTGTAGACAAATCCTCAGAAATCAGGCACCCAGAAGTCATCACATGCTCAGAAGAACAAGCACTCAGAAGAACAAGCAAGTTGCATGTGGTAGTTTAGTTCTCTCATGCTATCTGCTAAATTATGGTATCCTTTTGCCTTGCATGACAGTTAATGCAGTTACATAAGAACTAGATTTGTGAGATACCCT